CGCTCACGCGTCGACGACCTGGCGTGGGAATCGTGCGCGCCGCGCTCCGACGGGAGCGACACGCTCCGGAGAAAGGAGCGCGGCGCCGACGCGAAAGCGCAGGATGTGCGCCCCGTCCCATTCCTGCCAAGTGTTTCGCGACGTGGACGACAGAACGCCCATGTTGAGAGCAACAACGTCGACTGTGTATTGTTTTACACATGGGAGGATGGGACGTCCAAGGTGGAACTCCTATCAGCAAACTAGATGGGGACGTGAGAAGATGTACGAATCAAGAATGAGGACAGCAGGGTGAGGGTGAGGATGGGGGAGGAAGGCGGGCACGACACAACGACGAAAGGGAACAGACAAGGAGTACTCTAAGGGGAGCGTGTGTAAAGAAGGAAAAAGGTATAGCGAGACAGAGAGATAGAAAGAGAGAGAGAGAGAGAGAGAGCAAGAGAGCGAAAGAGAGAGAGAGAGAGAGAGATAGAGAGCGAACACGATGCTTATATCATATGTTAGCCAGCGCGGACGTCAAACAGTGATTTCTTGCAGTCTGTGCGAAGCAATCTAGGTGGTGCAATGAATGTGGTGCGATCTAGGTGGTGCAACACATGTGGTGCAACATATGAGGTGCAAATAATTTCTGTTCGCAGTGAGTTGTCCACTCCACTTCTCGCGCAAACATCCCACCCCCCCACCCGCAACTTGGTTTGCAAAATCTCTCAAGACCGTGACGGTGGGTACCACATGGCACTTGGCAACAACAGCGACGCCGACGACGACAGCGACAACGACGATGACGACGCCGCCGACAACGACTACGACGACACCGACGACGTCTCCAACGACTTCGACGACGCCGACAACGACGACGACGACGACGACACCGACGACGACGACGACGACGACGACACCGACGACGACGACGATGACAATGACGACGACGATGACGACGCCGACGACGACGATAACGACGACACCGACGACGACGACGACGTCAACGACGCCGACGACGACGACGACGGCGGCGACGACGACGACGCCGACGTCGACGACGACGAAGACGACAACGACGCCGACGCCGACGACGAAGACGACGACGACGTCGCCAACGAAGACAACGAGGAAGGAGGGAGGACGACGACGGCGACCACGACGACAACGACGAGGGAGGAGGGAGGACGGCGACGACGCGAACGACGAAGAAGGAGGAAGGACGGCGACGCCGACGACGACAACGACGAGGGAGGAGGGAAGACGACGACGACGACAAACGACGACGACGACGGCGACGAAATAGGAGGGACGACGACGAGACGCCGACGACGGACGACGACGACGACGACGAGGGAGGAGGAGGAAGGACGACCACGGCGACAACGACGACGGAAACGACCACGACGCCAAAGAGAACGACGACGACGAACACGAGGAAAGACAGAGGACGACGTAGGCGACGACGACGACGACAACGACGCGGGAGGAGGGAGGACGGCGACGACGACGACGCAAGAGCGCGCGCGCACGCTTTTGTTGAAAATCCGTGTAGCACTGCAATGCAATGCGAATCAACACAAATCAACGCAACATTATGCAATGCAACTTACCGCAAAGCAGAGCACAGCAATGCAAACCAATACCAAGCAATGCAACGCGATTGCAATGCAACGCACATCGATCCACATCAATGCAAAGTAAAGCAAAGCAAAACAACGTAATGCAACACACTCATAACAATACAACGTACTGCAACATAACACAACGCAATGCAATGCAATGCAACCTCATGAACAGCCATGCAACGCAATGCAACGCGATGCAAAGCAATCCCAAGCATTGCAACACACTGCAATGCAAAGCAATGCTCAGCAACGCAAAGCAACACGCCGCATGGCGAAGCACCGCAAAAAATACAAAGTAGAACAGTGCGATCTCAGTGTGAGGCAATGTGATTGCAATGCGATGCGATTGCAAAGCACTGCACAACAATCCAATGCAATGCGATGCGGTTTTAAATGCAATGCGGTTCCAATGCAACGGTGGGGGCGTGCAGCGGGGCTGGCGGCGACGGACGGGAAAAGGGTCGCTGGGCCCAAGCACGGGCCTTTTGTGTTGGGAAACATGGTGCGACGGACGGGAACGGGGCCGCTGGGGTCGCGCACGGGCCCAATTCCCTAGAACAGAAATTAAAGCTCCTAAGTACAAGCACTGTTTGGGGAATCTGTTGATAGTGTATTGGCGTCTACATGCGCGTATCTGTGTTCACGTATTAAAGTCGGCCTATGCAGATAAGGATACGAGGATGTACGGGGAAATGGGGGGACAAAGAGAGAGAGAGAGAGAGAGAGAGATGTATGTACATGTGTACAGCTCGAGGGCGCTACATATACACGGTTTACATCAACACATCTTTAGGTGCGTCGACGAAGGACGAGAGAGAGAGAGAGAGAGAGATATACACAGGTGCAGCGAGCGAGAGAGAGAGGGGCACACACATCTATATATATATATGACATGTGAGGGCGAGAGAGAGAGAGAGAGAGAGAGAGAGAGAGAAAGAGAGAGAGCGAGAGAGAGAGAGAGAGAGAGAGGGAGAGAGAGACAGAGCGAGAGAGGGAGAGAGGCAGCGAGAGAGAGCGAGAGAGGGATGAACAACAAGGTAGGGAACACTGCCGAAAGGGCCATGCGGTATAATCCATGTGGTGTACGTTCTGCAGTGAAAGGCGTGCGGTGTGCAATCTAGGGGGGCGTCGTCTGTGCAGCGTGAGGAGGAGGAGGAGGAGGGAGGAGGGAGGAGGAGGAGGAGGAGGAGGAGGAGGAGGAGGAGGAGGAGGAGGAGGAGGAGGAGGAGGAGGAGGAGGAGGAGGGAGGAGTGGGAGGAGGCGGAGGAGGAGGAGGAGGAGGGAGGAGGAGGAGGAGGAGGAGGAGGCCCAACGCACGGGGCCCACGAGGCGCCCACGAGGCGGGAACTCGGCGACAGCCAGGGAAGCCGACAAACACGCAATACCACGAACTAAGAACCCCTGGGTGCAACCACTGCCGTGGGAAGAACAACGTGCAGACTGCTGAGCACAACTGAGACACAACAGCAGCAAACACATTCTCTAAGTTGTTTTTCCCTGCGCCGCCCATCTTCAATATTTGCTCACATGTTTATATTGTGTGCGTGTGCGTGCGTGCGTGAGTTTCCTCTCGTCCGCCAGCGCAGACGACCCCTGCCTAACCGCGGACGCAACAAGTGCGTGTTTCCTGGTTTTTCTTGAGTGCCAACCGTCGGTCTTTGGTTGATGCATGCTGTGTGTGTGTGTGTGTGTGTGTGTGTGTGCACGCCGCGCCGCTGCGTGCGTGGCCGCGACGCCAAACAATGTATGTGTGTGTGTGTGTGCGTGTGACTGAGTACTTGATAAAGGGGATGGGAGTTTAAGCGGAAGAGAACACGGGGGATGAAGAGGGGGGAGGCGAACGGAGAAGCGGAATGGAGCTGGAGAGCGTGCGGTTCCTTTTCAAATCTTGTAGCGTTTCCATTGCAAATGGGACGTATACGATTCTCGGGGGCGAGGGGTACGGCACTGCCCATATACATGAGCATGTTCATGTATACACATAGATGTACACATGAGTGGGACGCTTCCAACATTGGCAAGACAACTTTGGACAGTTGGAACGGCAGTCGTGTATAGCTTGCATAGTCTATTGTGTTTCCCTGCGTGTATATACATATGATGTATGGTGCATGCATCACGCTCTCTCTTTCTCTCTCTGCCTCCCTCTCTCTCTCACTGTCGGTAGCTCTCCTCCTCAGATGAACGACAAATTCGAACGGGTCTTACGCAAGAGAACATTGCGCAACGACCTCACGCCGCGGCTCATGCGGGCCGCCATCCTGGCACACCGCACAAGGAAGAGGGCGCTTCTGCGCGACCTTACGCGGGAAGCTTACACGCGAATGTCCGCGCAGCCCACCCCGTTTCCTTCCGTCACTCAGATGCCGACGACGATGCCCCAAACCGGCGCCTGCTCCGTTCATGGTCAGCCAGGGGTCCTCCACTGCGGCAACCAATCCCTCCAGGCGCTTGAGGTGCTCTTGCTCGAAGATGGCGCTCACACTCGGCAGGGGGGTGAGGGGCAACGATAGGAAAGGATAGGGGATAGGCATAGGGGTGGACGCATCGAACTGGAATGGAGGATTATTTCCCCATGTATCGTGGACACATCTTCGATGCATACCGCCCCATGTCACGTCTATACATCGTCGATGCATCGCCTTGATGTCAACGATAACTACTTCGTCGATGCATCAACTATTTGAGGTCGATGCATCCCCCCAGGTCTGCCTAACCCCCCTCTATCGTTGACCCCGAGGGGGGGTGGGGTCGGCCGCGACGGCGCAGGAAGGGCGCTGGGCCGACGTCCGCTCTGGAGCGAGGAGCGCAAGTGGACGCGGCGGCCCTCCCGCCCAGAGGCCCTCCCACCCCGCCCGCCTCGACGCTGTGGCCGGCAAGGTTCGGGCGGGTCGGTTCGAGCGCGTCGGTGGGTTCAGGGAGGGAGGGGGGGGCGAAAAGGAGCTGGATGCACGGGTGATAGCCAGGGGGGGAGGGGATCGAGGGAGGGGCGCGGGGGGCCCAGCGAGGGGAGAGGGCGGGGGGAGAGACATATTGCGAGAGAGAGGGAGAGGAGCGATGGAAAGAGAGAGAGAGAGAGAGAGAGAAAAAAGAGAGATAATAACATAAGAGGGAAGGAGTGGCAGAGGCGGAGGGGCACGAGCGAATTGTGTGCAAGCAAAGACGGGAGCCTCTGAGATCCGGGACGCCTCGCCTCTCCTCTCCCGTGAACGCCCCCTGGAGCCCACTGGCCCCCTTCAGCGCGGATCGCGCCGCCCAGAGCCACCCGCCACCCAACTTTCTTAAACTTCTCATTCTCCTGCCCTTTTGGGCTACATTCTTGGGGGCGGGGGGGCGGGGTCCGCCAGAGTGCCTCGCCAGAGCGCCCCACAGGCGTCTCGGAGCGCCTCAGCGTGTTCCAAAAGTGCAGGAGGAACCCACGCTTCGGAGCCCGTTCGCCCCCCCAGGGCTGAAGCTGCAGGACCGTGGCTGACAGCGTCGAGTGGGCGCCTCGTGCGTTGCTTCACGCTCGGTCGCGCACCATCTGTGCGCAGCGTCTCGCCTGGCGAACCAGAGGGCAAGCTCTCGAACCCAGTGCAACACTGCAGGCGTCGGTCGGCGCGCTCGCCACGAAGCAGAGGGGCCCGAGTGTCCTGAGCATGAAACCCACCCTCTTGAGAAGCAAGCTCAATGACAGAGCTGATGCTTGCAACGTTCCCCACGATGGCCCAATGTAGCCCCGCGAGCGCCTCAAGGCAGCCCCGAGACTGCCCGAGAACCCCCCAAAACATCACGAAAGGCTCTAAGACGGCCCCATGACCTGCCCCGATGTCCTCAAGATGTTTCAATTAAGCCTTTTCGGGGAGAGCTCTGTCAAACCATCGCGTCCAAGATGGACCTTGGGTCCCCTTGCGGGCCCACGAGAAGGCCTCCCTGGGAGCCTGCCTGGCTATAGCAAAGCGCAACGTTGCAGACACAGGGCGCACGACGACAGGCCTACGCGCGTGTGCCTCGAAGCTACGCGTTGCGAGCAGAACTACGGACTTCCACATGCCCACCCAAGCCATGCATGTGCTCCTGCTCCGCCGTACTACTACTGATACGAGTGCTAACGTTCATTCAAACTAATACGAGTACTCACGCTAATACTACTACCATTACGACGACGACTACATCTACTTCTACTCTATCTACTCCTACTCATACTTGTAATCTGACTCTTACTCCTCCTCCTCCCCCGCCTTCTCCTCCTTCTCCCCCTCCTCCTCCTACTCCAACTACGACTACTACTACTACTACTGCTACTACTATTATTATTGTTATTATTATTATTACTACTACTACTACTACTACTACAACTACCACCACTACGACTGCTACGACGCCTACTACTACTACTACTACTACTACTACTACTACTACGACTACGACTACGACTACGACTACTACTACTACTACTACTACTACTACTACTACTACTACTAGTACTATGTGTACTGCTACTACTACGACTACGGCGACTATCACTACAACAACAACAACAACTACTACGACTGATAGTAATATTACCACTACGACTACCACTGTCGCTGCCACTACCACTACCACTACCACAGCCACTACCAGTACCACTAACAGTATCACTACTACCACCACCACCACTTACTACGACTACTACTACTACTACTACTACTACTACTGAAGGTGCTACTACTACTACTACTACTACTACTACGACTACTACTACGACGGCTACTACTACTACGACTACGACTACGACTACTACTACTACTACTACTACTACTACTACTGTTGCTACTACTACGACTACTACTACTACTACTACTGCTACTACTACTACTACTACTACTACTACTACTCGTACTACTACCACCACCACCTTTACTACTACTGCTACTACTGCTATAACTATTGCTGGCACAACTATTACCAGTACGAATGCGAATGCTAGTACTAGTACTACTACTACGGCTACTACTACTACTACTACTACGACTACGACTACGACTACGACTACTACTACTACTACCACCACTAGCACCACTACTACTATTACTACTACTCCTGCTACTACTACTACTACTACTACCGATACGGCTACTGATACTACTACTAGTGCTACTAGTACTCGTACTACCACTACTACTACTACTACTACCACCACTACTACTACTACTACTACTACTACTACTACTACTACTACTACTACTACTACTACTATTGCTACTACTACTACTACTACTACTGCTGCTACAGCAACTACTACTACTACTACTACTGCTACTCCTACTCCTACTACTACTACTACGACGACGACTACGACTACTACTACTACCACTGCGAGTGCGGCTACCACGACGACTATAGCTATTGCGACTACGAAAACCACTACCACGAAGACTACTGCGGCTACCGCTGCTGCTGAGCTTTCTACGACGACTAGAACTACTAATTCTGCCACGTATTGTACACACCTGCGTACTGTAACTATCAACAACTGGTGCTACTTATGATACGTTCTCCTTCATCTCTTCATGCTCCTCCTGCTCCTGCTCCTTCTCTTCCTTTTCCTCCTGTCGTTGTTCACCCTCCTTTGATTCTCTGGCGATCCTGTCCTGACACCCTGCCTGGGCAACTGCGGGCCTCTTGTAGGCGTCCTTGACGCGGCTGCAGAACTGCCCCTCGTCTGGTCTGGTGTGGCCCAGGTCCATGGGCACCTCCCGCCAAGAGGAAACGGCAGGGGAGGACGAGCATTGGAGCGAGGAGAGTCAGAAAAACTTGTATGGCTCTTCGGGGTTGGGATCTGCTACCATGCCCCTTGGCACGTTGAGGCGCGGTAGAACGCAAGTGTTGTACGCTGCCAGGATTTCTGCAATACTCTCAGATATGCCCCGCCCCCCGTCTGTACTGGCTTGCATGCTCTGGCCCTCGCCGCCCGAGGACCCCCGAGTGCCGCCACGCCGCCCTGGCGCCTTCCAGAGCTTTCCAAAAGCTTGCAACACGACCGTTGGGATGCAACAAAACCAAGGATTGCAAAAAACCCTTCGAAGGATTGCAATCCTTCGTTCAAGGGTTTTTTTGCAATCCTTCGTTTTTTTGCAATCCTTCGTTCAGTATTACCCCAGGACGCGCCCAAAAGCTCTCCAGAGTCGCCCAATAAGTCCCAACAGGCCTCCAATGTCGAACAGGCCTCAATACACCCCGAATGCGCTCCCCAGGAGGCTCATGATAGGCGAAGAACATGGTTGTGGTTCCATCATGTTGTTTTCGATGTTTTTCGTGTGCCACAATGTTCGATCAAAGATCGGTCCAATTGCGCTCCTCGAGGGCCCAAAGGGGCCCACTCCAATCGTTGCAGGACCAGGGGCGAGGGTCGGGCAGGACTGGGCAGGGAGATGCTCCTCCTGCCTCCTGCGCCCTCCTGCCACTGCCTGCCGCCCGCTGCCTTTTCCACCCCCCTCCCCCTCCCCCTGCCTTCTCCTGCGCCCTCCTCCTCCTCCCCTCTCCCCCCCCTGGGCCTCCTCGCTTTATTTCCGAGCAGCTTTGAACGTGCGGGTGCGGGGAGACACAAGCGTGGCGGAGGTATAACGAACAGGACAGTTCGCGGATGGACCCTCCTTAAGAGGACGTCGGTGTTGCAGCAACGGCCCCTGGCTCCCCGTATGTATGTATGCATGCATGCATGTATGTATATACATCTACAAGACTGCATTGGCGCTTCGCGCCATGCACCTTGGTCCGTGACGCTTGGTATGCAGGCGGAATGGCAGGTGGGTCGAGTCGACATTTTAGCGAAAATTCCTTATTGCCTTTTCGGGCATCGCTGTTACAAACATGGTATTCGTTATCGTTCCTCCAGTTTCTTTTTCCTCATCCTCGCCTCACTCTGCGTATTCTCCCCATCCTCATCAGCCCTTTTTGCGGAGGCTCATCCTTGGAAATCCTCTGGGGGCCTCGCACAAGTTTCTCAAGCTTTCTTCAGGTCTTCTGGAGGCCTCCTGGGCGTCTCCTGGGGGCCTTTGGGCTTCCTCGGGCCACCGTGCCTCCAACCGCGGTCTCCCTGAACGGCCCAGTCACGACATGGAATGCTTCGGAGGTGTCTTTGGGCCATCTCGGGCCGTCATGGAGCTCTCTTTGGCCATCTTGGAACCCTGTTGTGCTGTCTTGGGGCTCTCGTGGGCTGCCTGGGAGCCCTTTCGGATGGTCATGGACGATTTTCGAGCCTCCCAGGCGGATTCGGACGCCCAGAATACCGCCGTCTTTGAGCGTCGGGAAGCAGAGAATAGGAGAACCTCCAAATTCTCAAACAAAAACTATAAACAAATAGTGCGTTTTGCCTTTTGTGCCTTCTTGGGAGTGCTCTTGGAAACCTCTTGGGCCGTTTAGAGGAGATCTTTGGGGGTATGACGGCTTCTTTGGGGTCGTCGTCGGCCATCATGGGGCTCTCTGGGGTCGTTTCGGGTGCGCGTCGGAACGCCTGGAGCCCTCTGGGGCCGTTTTCGGCTCTCGTTGGGTTCTCCTGGGTCGTGCAAAGGGTTGCCCGAGAGGCCCGGGGTGGGCCAAATTCGTTAGGGGGGGAAAGGGAGCACTTTTTTCCGGGGTCCCCGGCCCTAATATATATATATATATATATATATATATATATAGAGAGAGAGAGAGACAAAATTGAATATGTGAACATATGAACATATGTATGTATGTATGTATGTATGTATGTATGTATGTATGTATGTATGCATGAATGTATGTATGTATGTTTGTTTGTATGTATGTGTATATATATATGTGTGTACATATATACACACCCCACGTTGTGATTACCCAAGACCCCCCCTCTCCTAAACCGACCCCCCCCCAAAGGACGCCCCGGATGCCCTTTCGGACGTCTCGGCGGCCCCCTGGACACCCTTGGAAAAAAGTCCGCGCTGGCCCTTCCGGGCCTCCTAGGGCGCCTTGCCGGGCCTCGCGAGCAGACCCAAGGCGATCACAGGGGTCATCGGAGAGGCGCCAGAGAGACCCAAGACAGCACAAGAGCGCCCCAAAGGGAACCTCGATGGTCTGAAGACGGCCCTGAGGGCCCCCGAGACGCCCCAAAAGGCCGTTAAGAGAGCCCCGAAGAAGCAGCAATCGTCTCATTCCCAAAGGAAAATCTTAATTTTTAGCATGTCCGCTGTTTGGGACTTCGCAGCGTCCAAGACGGCCCGATGGGCCCCCGATATCGCCCCAAGAGGCCCCCCAGAGGGTTTGAAGACGGCCCAAGAGGGCCCCCAAACTGCCCCAGAGAGCCCCGAGACTGCCCGCAAGAAACCCATGGCTCCCAAGACCAGAGAGACCCATGAAAGCCATGGGAGACCCCCAAGAAGCCCCTAGATGGCTTCAGAAAACCTCTGGATGACCCCTGCTCCCCAAGACGGCCAAAAAGGCCCCAGGACAGCCCAAGACGACCCCAGGACCGCTCAAAAGAACCCCAAAAACGCCCAAACGGTGCTCTAATTACGAAGTACATCGAGCTGGCCAGACGATCTTGGTTCCACGCTTAGAGCTCGATGTTTAAATTCCTCGATCGAGAGAGACCGGCAATGGATCTAGATTCGAAGTTTGACGATCGAGCATTTCCTGAGTTGCTGGGGCCCTCCAGGCTGTCAGGAAGCGACCAAGCATCGAATTTGTTCGGAGTTTCGTCGATTTCCTCGGCGTGTCATGGGAACGCTCCTTACATCCTCAAAGGGCCTTCGCGCGTGAACAAATCATCATTCCTTTCCCACTCCTGCGCACAAGCTTGCAAGCGTATCGGGCGAACGCGGCGTCAGCAAGCACAAGGGATACAGGAAAAATGAGCCGGTCGCCCGTCCAGGCCTTGAGGTCTCCCCTGCTGAAGCAAGCGATGATTTATTGCTTTGCCGGGGAAGCGTCGGGAACACGGCGCATGGCGCGAAACGCCAATGCAGTCTTGTTTGTATATGTATGTATGTATGTATGTATGTATGTATGTATGTATGTATGTATGTATGTATATCTATATATATATTATACAGAGGGAGAGAGAGAAAGAGAGAGAGAGAGAGAAATAACAGCAAAAACGAGCCAAACAAATAACTATTACTGCAATCGCCATAGGGGGAGACTCCTGGCATAGGCCTGCCTCCACCGCTTCCAACATCCATGGGCCTCCCAACCAGCCGACCGGAGCGTCCGCGTGGTGCTGCCTCCCTGCCTCCCTCCCGCACCCCCCCTGCTTCCGCGCCCGCAGGGAGGATCGGGTCGGGCGAAAGGGGGGGATAGCAAAGGGGGGGTTTGAGAATCAGCTCACGTAGCTGATTTTCCTGGCGCCTCCTGGCGCCGGGAGGCGGCCGTGTATCGAGGAATGGGCCTGGCGGCGGGGCCGAAACCAGCTGCATGCAGCAGATTTCGTAACCCCCCCTTATCCCTATTCTACGGCAGGCATTGGTGTCGGACACCGTGTCCCTATCCCTATCCCTACATATTATCCCTATCTCTATCCCTATCCCTCCTATCCCTACCCTTATCCCTCCTATCCCTATCCCGATCCCTATCCCTATCCGAAACCAGCTGCATGCAGCAGATTTCGTAACCCCCCCTTTCCCAATCCCCCCCTTTCGCCCGACCCGCGAGGAGCGCAGGCGAGCCGAGCACGTCCAGGTCGGGCCCCCGGCCGGCAGCAGGCACCCTGCTCGTTTTTCGATGCTCGAAGCCCCCGCGGGGTGAATGAAGGGGCCCCAGGACACACAAATAAATACACACAAGTAAAAAGATTCCCCATATTTTCCAATATTTTCTGGGTTTCTGTCTTCCCCCTCACTTCCCATATTTTCCCATATTTTCTGGGGAATTGAAGATGAATTGTGTCTGTGTGTTTCTTTTCCTCTTGAGTGAAGCGCTCCCGACATCTGCACGTTCGGGAACTTTGCCGGGCGTCGGCGAAAGTTAAAACAGGGCCAGGATCGGAATAAATCGCTCCAGAGCGTTTCGGAGCGCTCTCAGAGCGTTCCGGAACGCTCTGGAGCGGCCGCGGCGCCCAACACATCCTCCAAACCCGCCGATTCTCAGAGATTTCGAATTATCCCGATCCGATTTTGTCCCGATCTTCGCGTCGTTTTAAAAGTGCCCGATCCCCGTGAGGCCCGCAACGCCATCCACCCGGGCCGGTCTCCCGTTCGAGCACGCACCTCGCGACGCCGCGCGTCGCATCGCCAACCTCCCTGCCTCCTTCCTTGCATGCACGCACGCACAAGCCATACGCCGTCCGGCGCGTGGGCGGGAAAACAAGCTCAGCACAGCCTGTACTGAGGCAGCCTCCTTCCTTGGGGAACCAAGAAAGACCGACACTGCTACTACCCGGGCCTCTCCTGGCGTGCGCTCCGACCAGCATTTCGAAGCGAACCCAGCGGTGGCGACGAGGGCCTCCCAGGATGCCCAACAAGGCGAAAACGAGGGAAGGGTACGGTAAGGGTACGTACCTTTTCCTTTTCTGACTTCCCGCCTCCCAGGAGGCCCAACAGGCCTCCCAGGAGGCCCAACAGGGCGAAAACGAGGGAGGGGTACGGTAAGGGTACCTTTTCCTTTCCTGACTTCCCGCCTCCCCGCCTCCCTGCCCGGCCTGACTTCCAAGGGCTCCCAACTTCGCGCTTCGCGCTGCGCGAAGCGCGAAGCGCGAATAACTTCGCGCTCTCGCGCCGCCCTCCCAAAGGGAGAATAGGAGGACGAGGAGGAGGAGGAGAAGGAACGAGGACCGCGAAGCGCGAAGCGCGAATAACTTCGCGCCCTCGGGGGAGCCCTTGCCTCCCCGCCTCCCTGCCCGCCCGCCAGTGGGGGGATGGCCGTCAGGCCAGGCCCCGCGAAGCTCGCGAGCGCGCCCCGCTCCCGCAGCTGATCCTGCGGGCTCGGCCGTGGCGCGGCCGCGCGCGCGCGGGGGGTGTCGGGAGGAGGGGAGGAGGAGGAGGAGGAGGAGGAGGGAGGAGGAGGAGGAGGAGGAGGAGGAGGAGGAGGAGGAGGAGGAGGAGGAGGAGGAGGAGAGGGAAGAATGTGGGGAGGATCAGATGCTTTCCCGTCCAGGAAGGACCGTCCGATCGGGGGTGTCGCAGACCGCCGTCTGGAGAAACCTCGGGCGCGAGGGGCAACGATCCCAGACCCCCTCGAGTTATGAAAAAATCACGACGGGAAGTTTTTGATTATTTTTGGCCTCTGGGGGCCCTTACCGGCCCTCGGGACCGTCAAAAAACGACTCAGGACGAAAAAACGGTCCCGGGGAATGGGTCCAGACCGCTGGGGGTCGACGTCATGAAAAATTCATGACGTCGGGGGTCTGGGATGACGATACGGCGGGGGCACTGGGTAAAGAAGCCTTCGACAAAGGATCCAGGCTCTGGAGGCCGGTGGAGCTCCAATCGAGGCCTGGCCATGGACATCACCGCCGCACTCCTCAGAGAAGGGGCCCTTCCGGGTCTGCAAGCCTCCTGGGCGTGGTCCTTAACCAGCGCCCCCACCGTGTGGGGGGACCAGCTCAGGGGGAGACACATCGAGCTGGAATCGGCGATGCATCGCCGATAGGTCGGCGATAGGCATCCAGTAGCCAATCTGCACAGTCCTCAGCGGGTGGGCTATCGGCCCGTATCGGTGATCAATCGGCGACTGGGGGTCACTGCGTTCCCCCCTGAGCCTATCCCTCCCTATCGTTGCCCATCTGATTGAGAGACCTCGGGCATCCGACAGCAGAGAACGTTTCAGGCTGGCCTGGGGACGCCTATTTCGGGAAACTCCTCCACGGCGCCAAAACCTATGTTCTATTGCCGTGGAGGATTTTCCCAAAATTCGGCGCGACTCCGCTGGCGAATCTCGGGAAATTCCCCGACGGCGCTAAAACATAGGTCCCAAAACAGGCTTCCAACAAGCAATGTTTGGAAACGGCTCCGTGCGCACTCACCTGGTTTGGGCAACGGGTGGACTTCCACCTTGAGTGCCCGCGCCGGGGTCGCCGCGACATCGACGCCGCGCCAACATGCCGTACCAACAAGACTGGGCCAACTTTCTGGCCGACGGCTCTGGGGCGGGCATGAGGAGGAAATTCCTGGGAGATCCTCGCAAGAACCATCAAGGATCTAAGGGCTAGGTTTTCGGCCATGAATGTGCCAGCGCCGATGCTGGGCGGGGGTTGCGGGCAGCAGCCCAGACCCCCTCGCGCCGTGGAACATCGCGACGGGAATTGCCGTTGCCAATTTCGGCCTCTGGGTGCCCTCGCTGGGTCCCCGGGCCGATAAGTGGGGGGAGGAGGAGGGGGAGGAGGAGGAGGAGGAGGAGGAGGAGGAGGAGGAGGAGGAGGAGGAGGAGGAGGAGGGGGGGAGGGGGGAGGGGGGGAGGGGAGGAGGAGGAGGAGGAGGAGGAGGAGGAGGAGGAGGTGGAGGAGGAGGAGGAGGAGGAGGAGGAGGAGGAGGGGAGGAGGAGGAGGAGGAGGAGGGGGTCCTGGGGAAGGGGCCGAGACACCTGGGGCCCCCCGATGTGAACGACCTCGTGACGTCGGGGGTCTGCGAGCCCCGCGGCTTCCGGCCGCCGCCTTGCTAAGGTACAGCATGCTGCTTCGTGTTGTCGTGGGCCTCCGCCCGAGAGAGTCGGGTCGGGCGAAAGGGGGGGATAGCAAAGGGGGGGTTTGAGAATCAACTCTCGTAGCTGATTTTCCCGGCGCCTCCCGGCGCCAGAGGCGGCTATGTATCGATGAATGGGCCCCTCGGTGAGGCCGAAATCAGCTGCATGCAGCAAATTTCGTAACCCCCCCTTTCCCAATCTCCCCCTTTCGTCCGTCCCGAGAGAGGAGCTCCCGGCTCGACACTCGCCCGGCCAGCATATGCCGCGGCCGCCGGGCCCCCTGAGCACCTGGGCGGTCCGGGTGGCCGCCGGGGATTCCGCCTCGCCGAGCCCCGCCAGAGAGGCGACTCGGCGTCGCGCCCCACCGCGCCCACCCCAGGCACGTGTGGCCACCATGCTCCAAGAGTCGGAGGAGGAGGAGGAGGAGGAGGAGGAGGAGGAGGAGGCGGAGGGGAGCCACACCGAGGAGGCGTCACGGCGTCACGCCCCGCCTCGCCCTCGCCACGTCGCCCACAGACGTCTGGAGCGTGGCACCACTGCAGTACAGCAGTGGCGCGCGTCAGTATCAGGCATCAGGAAGATTCATCAACGACGTGCTGCAAGATTGCGCGCCAACGTCGCACATCGGTCAATGCACAAACAAGCGCCTATGGTAGGCATTAAAGACATGAACAACAATCATTCACCCGGGACGTTCAACCATTGCCAATACCGATGACAACCATGAGTGTTTACTGGTCACCAAAGGCATACGTCAATCACAATCATCAAACTCACACCTCTACGCACAAGAACACGTACATCAATAACGAGCACCAATGTTTATGCACCAATACTACACAACAAGAATACACATCACTATCCGGAGTAAACCATGAACATGCAACAACCACTGACACGAAACCCTCATGACAAAACCGTGCACCCATCACGGGCAAACCTAAACTGCATCGAAACGCGAAATTGCATCGGACCAACAACGGATCGGGTCGCCAACGAATCGTCCCGAATCGAATCGAAATATGATCGCCGCGCCGGGCTCTGGCTGGTCCCAGCCGATGCCGGTAAGCCAGAGCGAATCGAATCGGAATCGTGGCCACGGCCAGCGGATCGAATCGCATTGTCTCGGATCGTAGCGGCCCTGACGGGCAAATTGAACGCACAGCAAGACGCCATACCAATAACATCGGAGGTTGGGGCGTGAGATCGCCATGGAACGGAGACCCCCAACTGGGACATCGTTTCGTTTCGTTCGTGTCGTGCGTGCGGGCGAGGCGAAGCTGCGTGGGCGCGCGAGAGGAATGAACCCGCCGTTGCTAGGGCGAAGTCAAGACAAATGATTCTCCCCCGTCCATCCGTCCGTCAGGCGGTGGCCCTAGCGGTGTCTCGCGGTGTCCTGTGGTGTCCGCCGTTGCTAGGGCGAAGTCAAGACAAATGATTCTCCCCCGTCCGTCCGTCCGTCCGTCTGGCGGTGGCCCTAGCGGTGTCTCGCGGTGTCCCGTGGTGTCCGCCGTTGCTAGGGCGAAGTCAAGACAAATGATTCTCCCCCGTCCGTCCGTCCGGCGGTGGCTCGCGGTGTCCCGTGGTGTCCGCCGTTGCTAGGGCGAAGTCAAGACAAATGATTCTCCCCCGTCCGTCCGTCCGTCCGGCGGTGGCTCGCGGTGTCCCGCGGTGTCTCGTGGTGTCCCGTGGTGTCCCGTTGAGTGAGATCGATAGTGAGATCGATAGTGAGATCGATAGTGAGATCGATAATGAGGTCGATAGTGAGATTGATAGTGAGATCGATGTGGTGTCCCGAGGTGTCCCGTGGTGTCCCAAAAATTGAAATCGATAATGAGATCGACAAGTGTCCCGTGGTGTCCCGTGGTGTCCCGTGGTGTCCCGTTGAGTGAGATCGATAATGAGATCGATATGGTGTCCCGTGGTGTCCCAAAAAGTGAGATCGATAGTGAGATCGATAGTGAGTTCGAGAGGTGTCCCGTGGTGTCCCGCTGAGTGAGATCGATATCGAGATCGATAGTGAGATCGACAGTGAGATCGATGTGGTGTCCCGAGATGGTGTCCCGTTGAGTGAGATCGATAGTCAGATCGATAGTGAGACCGATAGTGCGATCGAGAGGTGTCCCGCGGTGTCCCGTGGTGTCCCGTTGAGTGAGATCGATAGTGAGATCGATAGAATCAGATGTGGGGGTTCCCCCCCCCTCTCCCCCCCCACAACCTCCTTATTACTTGAAGGGTGGTCGTATAGGTACATTTGTATCGTATACCAAGACCAGACGCCGAGAACATCACATCAACATCGAACTATTTACGGGTAGGGAGCGACGACACACATCAAGGACAAGCTATGTAATGTAGCAGGGCAATTTTAACAAACATAAGCAACATCAACACATGGCCGACATCGACAAAACAACTGGTAACACACACCCGCAACATCGCGGTAACACACACACACACCCGCAACATAACACCAACACCAAAACCACACACGACTAATTCCAATAGAACTCATCACGATCGAACGCCAACACTTTTAATCTGGTGTAGGCAGCCATGTAACGCATGCAAGAACGCGCTCGCAACACACATTAGACGCTCGCACCATTTACACCACTATGGAGACCACATGCGCCAACAACGCACATCAATACCACACATAACCGAAAACTGATCACACAGAATTCGCAGTACTAACCAACCAACCTAACAACGCACATGCAACATCCACCCAATACACGGACCGACTGCACGCATAACAGATATGAAACGGCCATGCCATGCAATGCAACGACACATAGGTCACGTATCACACTGGAAGGTCACACGCGACAGACTTCGACACTGTGTGAAGCAGCTCCCTAGTGGGGATCGCCCGAAGCTGATTTATGTGATTGTTGTTTTGTGAGTTCGTGTGTGTGTGTACTCTTCCATCACGGCGCGTTCGACTCAATTCGTCCGCAATTGGCGCTTCCATCTGATGACGGCGCCTGAGGTTCCTCTGCGCCGCCGACTTACATGTGTGCGTGTGTGTGTTTTTCTGTGTGCTTATGTTCTTGTTATTGTTGTTGTTGTTGTCGTCGTCTCATTTCGAAAGAACAATTATTGTTTGATCCCCCCTCTCCGGGGCATTCTGTGTTTTCTGAATTGAAGTGCCCCTCCCCGGGCTCGCACACGGTTTCTTTATCAGGGGAAATCTTGAATCTCAGAATTGGGTTGTTGGCCCCCGGTTTACAACAGCAGCGGCTCCCGCCTGATACTTCCTCGCAATTGATTCCCAAATCGCGCTCTCGCGC